CTGACTGGGAATTTTAGCAAGCATTAATGAAGAAATAAACATTATAATTGGTGTTGAGACTATAAGAAATATTTTGTTTACTCAGAAATCAATCGGTTTTCAAAATTAAGTTCCGAAAAAAAATAGAGCAGACTTAATGTGCAAAAGACTATAACATATAATTTTAACCAAGGATTCTGAATCCGAGAGAAAAAGTAACTAAGTTCCAAGCAAAATAAAAAAAGGATTATTATTTTTTTGATATTTTCCGAAACTAGCAAAAGTAAAGAAAGGTTTTATTTTTTAGCCTCTACCATTTAATCATTCCAAAACCTTTTCTTCGCATTCTTTTCTGAGAGGATGCTGAAAATAATCTAACCCGCCCAGTGGGAAGCAATAAAGATTTAGTTTGTTCGAGGGCGACTCTGATATAAGGTTTTCAACCTCTTTCGCTACTTTTCAAACTTTTGATAAATTGTTTTTCTATTTTTTTGGCTTCCACAAAAAAATCTCATAATTGGTTGCTTAGTTTTTCCTCAATCACATCTGCCCCACGAAAAAAAGTAATGTCCTTTCGACCAAAAGAAGCGAAAATATAGAGACAATTAGATTTAGGTAAATTAGAATTTCACATTGGTTTACTGCCAGTTCTTTTACTGGCTTTTAGTTCAATCGGAATAATGCATTGACTAGTAAAAACCAAAAAATCGGGATAGTTTTGGGAACCATAAGGACTGCATAAATAGGTTTGGTGAGTAGGCACTGGAAAGTTATTTCGAATTATTTCATTATTGCCTTTTTGCAAAATTTCTCTTTTTAAGATTTGTCATTGGTTTTTATTTTCAATGAGTTTCAAACGGAGAGGGATAAAATTATTTTTTCTTAATTCTTCTTCTAGGCGGTCTTCTAAATGTTTACCGTGGCTAATTCCTAACCAATCGGCTTTATTTTTCCGAATGGAAATGAATATTTCTTTTAACATAAATCATTATAAGCCATTATGATATCATGCTTGCCAAAACCAGGAATAACGGTGTTTTTTTGGGATAGTTTGGCAAAATCTAACTGTAATAGCCTTTGTTTGGTTAGTTCATTTTTGCTTTTGAAGAAAATATATTGTCGATTTTTAAATAATTGTTCGGTTTTTTCTATTTTTTGACTATAATCATAATAACCTTGACGCACGACCGCAAAATCTCAGTTGTATTTGTTTTTTTGGAAGTATTTTAAAGTTGGTTGAGTATTATTATGTAAAAACATTTCAAAATCAGGGTGTTTAGTAATTGGTTTTTCTTTAATCCTTAAATCTTTTTGTTCGGTTTTTCGTTTGGTTCAGATTTGAAAACAAGCATTCAAAGAATAAGTTTTATTATCGACTAAAAAAGAGTTAGGTTCTAAATTAAGGTCATAAATGAGTTGCAAATTTTTATTTAGTTTAGATTGGATACTCCAACGCCGGAAAGTTAAGGGGAGAATGAAACCAATTGTTTCGCTAATTTCGGCTGATTTGTTAATAAAGTCCAAGGCCAATTTTCCTTTTTTGCCAAAAGGGGGGTTGCCGATAACTAGGTAGTTGTTTTGATTTAGATAAATATTTCTTTCAGTCAAGGGTTAGAAAATTGGTCTTAATAATGTTTTCCTGGTCTGATTTTGGCTCAATATCAAAGGCTAGTATTTTTTTGCTGATAAAGGAATTGGTTTTGCTGATTTCGCGAATGGCTTCCAAGAAGTTTCCGGTTCCGGCTGATGGTTCTAGAAAATTTATTTTTTGATAACCTAATTTCTTTATTTCTTCCGTGAAAATACTGGTTAATTTTTTAGCAGTTAGAGGGTTAGTGTAGAATTGGTCGAAATTATTTTTTTCTTTTTTTGAAAGGTTATTTTTCATAGTTTTTTAATAATTTAATTTTATCTTTTTTATCAAAGTCAAAAAAATCCCTAAAAAAACAAAGTTTAAAATTTTATAAATTGTTTCTGTAAAACTAGGCTCTAATTTACTTTTTTTATATTAGGTTATTCACTTTTTCACAAGTTATAGAAGCAATTTTTCTACTTTTTACTTCAATTTTTAAGGTAAACAACAACTCATTATGGTTTATTAATATTTCTTTATTAGTCTGGTAAACCTCAGGGTTAATGTTTAATTTAAAGGAATTTCTAATGTCTTGTAATAAAAGGATATAATTATTTTCGGAACTAGCATTACGAGTACTAACTTCTTCTTTTTTTTCTATTTGGCTAATGATAGCATAAACATTTATTACTGTTTCTTGGTTATTATATTCCTCGATTTTTGTAAAGATATCCATTAAAGAATGAATTTTGAACTCGGACTTTAAACTTAGTTCTTTTCAGCGAGAAAAGTAACTGATATAGCAGCCTAGACTTTGATGTTCTCCCTGATTAATTAACGCTTTGTCTCTTTTGGTTTGGTTAGCAGTCGGTAAATCAAGAAAAGGTAAATTACTACTTGTGCTGAGAATTTTTTGTCTTATTCGCAAATAGCGAAAAATCGCTTCGCGATTTTCTAACAGACTATCGGTATCCACTTGCATACTAGCAAATAAACCACTCTTTACCCACGATTCAAAAACGGAACTTTCTATTTTTTCCCAATAGTTAACTGTCCGACTAAGAAAATTTTCCCAATTTTTATAAGCTCCTCCTTTTTGCCTTTCTTCAAGTAGACCTTGAAAAAAATCGGCTCGGTATTCCTTTAAATCAGCAAAACCCATTCGTAAAAATCTATCTCTTTTGGTTCAACCTATTTCTGAATAATTAATATCGGGTCCTTGGGGTAGAAAACCATAAAAAAATGCTTCCCGTAAGCGTAGTAAATTCTTTTCTTTTTTTTCGTTTAAGAGGTGAGTAATAATTTCTGGGAAGAAATTTGCTTTTAAATAAGCCACATAATAAGTTAAATAACCATAGGCTACGGCGTGAGCTTTATTAAAGGTATAACCGAAAGCCGAATTAATTTGACGATAAAGGGAATTGCTTTCGGAAAAAGTTAATTTTTTTTTGGCTTGGTCAAGGAAATCCTTGGTTATTCCCTTTTCGGTTAGTTCTCTTCTTTTTAATTCGGCTTCGGAAAATGAATAATCATAAACAAATGCCAAAATTTGACTTATCTGTTCTTCGAAGATAATAAATCCGTAAGTTTCCGCTAATATTTCTTTGATGGTTGGAGAAGTGAAATCCAGTGTTTTTTTGGTAGCCTTGACTTGGGATATTTCTTGGGCTCTTTTTCTTGCTCCGGGACGATTCAAACCTAAAAAAATAATTAAATCGGAAAAAGTTTGAGGTTGAAACCTTATCAGTAATTCCCGGGCAGAGGGGGTATCTAATTGAAAGACATCGGTAAGGAGAAAATTATTAAAAAGTTCCCAAGTTTTTTTGTCTTGAAAATCAAGGTCTTGATAGTTAGGTAGGTTAAATTTTAAAAATTCTTTAACTTCACGAATAAAACTGAAATTAATAAAACTAAATGTCTCTTTCAGACTTAAAAAATCGTATTTTCTTAATCCTAAATGGTTAAGTTTTTCTGCCTCAAAAAGGGTTAGTAAATAATTGTTTTCTAATTTTAAAGGAACTAAACCAACCAAAGAATTTTCGGCAATAATTACTCCCGCCGGATGGATACCGCTATTATAATATAAATTGCTGATTTTTTCAGTTAGGGCAAAAAGAACAGGATGGCGAAGTTGCAAATTTTGCAATTTTAAATTGTTGCTTAAATTAGAATTTTTTCCTACTACTGAAATGATTTCTTTTAATTTAAATTCTCCTATTTTGCAAACTTTCCCGGCTTCCTTGAAAGCGTTTTTCCAACCAATTTTTTCTTTGGTAATGATACGAGCCACTTGTTTTTTGGGGTATTTTTGCTGTAAATAATTGAATATTTCATTCTGGTTTTCAACGTCTAAATCGATATCAGGAGAAACTTTCCTTTTCTCGTTTAAAAATCTTTCAAAAAATAACTTGTGCTGTAAGGGGTCAATACTAGTTATTCCTAGCAAATAAACTACCAAAGAAGAAACTGCACTTCCTCGCCCCGGTCCTACCACTATATTTTTGTTTCTTAAATAGTTTACCGCATCGCTGAATGTCAAAAGGTAATCAACATAGTTAAGTTTCTCAACTATTTTTAATTCTTTTTCCAAAACTTTTTGATATTTTTCTTCCTTATCTTTTTTTAGGGCTAACAGACCCTGTCAGCATTTGCTTTTTAAGAGAAGCAGTGATTTTTCTTTCTTTTCTTTTTTAGTTTTTTCGCTTCGAGAGGAGGGACTGAGACTAATTTTGGTAAGAAAACTTTGTCATTGAATAAGTAGTAGTTGATAAAAGGTTTTATCATCGGTGCAATGGGAAAAATACTCTTCGGTATCTAAATAAGGGAGGAAATTTCCTTGGGTATCATCTGAAAAAAAATAGCGACTAAAACCAGTTTTTTTTCAAAGTGCTAATAAATCTATTTCCGAACCGGTTAGAGTTTTAATAGGGAAAAACGGAAGTAGTAATGAAATAACATTTTGAGCGATAGATTTGGTCGGGGAAAAAAGAAAAAAACTAAATCCAATAAAAAGGTTATCATAACTAATTCCTTTTTGCGGCGAAGCGGGCAGAATCCAACGCGAAGCAAAATAATCAATTTCAGCCAAGTTTCGAGCCTCAAAAATAATCAAACAATTTTTACTCAAATTAATTAGAATATATTCAAAAGAAAAAACCCGGTCGTTAGAGACGTCCGGCGAAAATAATTTTTGTATAACCTCTTTGTATCCCTTGCTGTTTTGGGGATAAACGGTAGCAGAATATTTTTTTTTTTCGAGTGGCTCATGGAGAAAAATTTTTACTCCTCAAACCGGTTTAATTTTTTGGGCTTTACACAGACTAAAAAAGTCAGTTATTTCATAAGGATAATAATCAGCAATAACTAAATAATTTAGTTTATTCTCATTAGCTCAATTAACTAATTGAGGGATTTTGAGAAAGGAAAAAGAAAGGTTAGAATTAGTTTGCGTATTAAGGTGGGGGAGGAGAAGTTTTTCCATTTAGAGAATTATTATTAAGGTTGATGACTAATTTTAGTTTTTTAGAAATTATGATAATTAATTTCTAATGGTATAACGTATTTCTCTGTTACCAAGATTTATTTTTAACGCTTACCAGCTTTTCCGTGTTGACCGGATTGCCGAGTGGGAGCAAAAACACCAAGTTTGTGTCCTGACATGTTAGGAACAATTTGTCGACTAAAAAATTTCTTGCCGTTGTAAATCTCAATCGTAAAACCGGTCATTTCGGGAAAAATGGTGGAACTCCGGCACCAAACTCTAATAGGAGTGTTTCGGATTTTATCAATCTCGTTGCGTTGGCCGCCTTGCTTTTCTAATTCGGCAATTTTTTTCAGACGGATTTCAATTTTTTTTCTTAATTTTTCATTAACAAATAATTCTTTTTTTAGTGAACGTGACATATATATAATTTAGGCGGTATATTAATAATGACTTTTAATTATAATCCGGCTGTTAGGAGTTTTTCGAGGTCTTTATAACTTTCTATCTCATGTAAATTTTCAACTTTCGCTCGGACAGACAAAGGAACTTCGGTATAATAGTCTAAATTACTTTTTGGAATGATAATAGTATCACAGCCTTTTTCGACTGCCGCACTAACTTTTTCGCCAATTCCACCAATGGCTACTATTTTTCCTTCCTCATATTCTTTTGGATAACGCTTGTTAATACATTTTTCGGAGCAAAATCTCTCATTATTCTCGTTCTCTCAAATTCAACCATGATAATTCCCGCAACAAGAACAATTTCCAAATCTTTGTCGACCGCATTCTGAACAATTATAGACATTTTTGTCTCATCATTGATTATAACATTTTTGTTTACAAAAAACTCATTGCGAATCCGGATTGGTTGCGTTTTTGTGATGTTCTTTTTCTAATTTATTAGCGATTCTATCATAGATAAGATGGTATATATAAGAATATTCCCCACAGTTAGCACAATGGTCGTGGCTTCATTGGTATTTTTTGGGGAAGGATTTAATTTTAGTCGGAATTTCCTCTCCTTCAACTTTAAATTCACCGGTAATAGCCAAATTTTTTGGGATAGCACAATCGGAATAGAAAGCACTAAGAAGAGCCAAATAAACTCCGGAGCCAGCCGAAGGACCGGAAATATTTTCGGCATTGCTATTTGTCTTTATCACATAAACATCATATTTTCAGGTATGACCTTTTTCGATTATTTTATTAATCGCAAACTTGATAACCGCACGATTACTATCCTCGGTGTCAGCAAATTCTCGGCTTTGTTTAATTTTCATTGAACTTAAACCATCAATTTTATAATTTAGAATATCGGCTTTGACATAAGGAGATTCCTTTAAAATGATAACTAATTCGCTACAAGAACCCTTTTTACCAGAAACCGCCAAAGTATTTACTACTCCTCTTCTCTTAGGGACTTTTAAGTTTGGGATTTCATTCGCTTTCAAGTCTCAATTTTTTAACTCTTTAATATCTTTATCAAGCAGATACCCTTTTTGGTGAAAAAATTGTTGATTTTCATTATTTCTATTATCGTTAGGAGGAATATTTCTCCTTCTGTCGTTATAATATTCTCTTTCCTCAAATTTTTTTGATTGGTCTTTTTGTCTAAAAGCAAAAATGGCAAAGGCGAGCGAAAAAATTATGACTATTAAGGCAACGAAATAACTATTATTTTTGCTTTTGCCTGGTTTTGTTTCCATTTTCAGCACCTTATTTTTTTCGCCAAATAATGTATTTGTTAGAAAGTTTATTCTTTTTACGAGTTTTTTTTCCTAAGGTTTTTTTGCCTCAGGGACTAAGCGGTGAAGGGCGTCCAATACCGGTTTTTTGTTCTCCACCACCATGGGGGTGGTCAACTGGATTCATCGCTGAACCGCGAACAGTGGGACGAATACCCCGTCATCGGCTTCGACCGGCCTTTCCTAAACTAACTAAATTGGCCTCACTGTTGCTGACTTTACCAATGGTTGCTCGGCAGTTCGCTAAAATTTTGTATTCTATTTTGGAACCTAATTTTACTGGCACCCGTCCATCGTTTCCTACTTTGCCAATTATTTCGGCATAAGTGCCGGCACTCCTCATTAGTTGTCCGCCTTTTTTTGGTTTTAACTCTATATTATGAATGGGAGTATTGACTGGAATGCAAGACAAAGGCAAATTATTCCCGACCTGAATTGGAATATCTTTGCTTTCTCCGCTGATTATTTTATCATCTTTTTTGAGTCCTTCCGGAGTAATTATGAAAGAAAAACTATTATTTTTCTGATAGTGAATTAAAGAAATGAAAGCATTCCGATTAGGGTCATACTCAATTGATTTAACTTCCCCCTCCATATTATCGTTGGGATAACGTTTAAAATCAATGATTCGGTAAAATCTTTTGTGCCGACCTCCTTGGTGGCGAGTAGTAATTTTCCCTTGATTATTCCGTCCGGAATGTGGTTTTAGCAAACAAAGAAGTTTGCGAGGGGTCTTGGGAGGTTTGGGAGTTAATTTTTCCCGGTAATCTATTAAAATAGTATTGCGAGAGGAATTGGTTAAAGGTTTAAGAGTTTTTGTCATATATTATTATTTTTATCATTTTAATATTAATTTAAGCAGGAGGTATTAAAGGTTGAAAATGACAGCCGCTGTTATAAATAACTCATGGGTCATTATATTCAGTCTCAAATCCCCGAGTAGTTCTACCATGTTCTGTGGGATATTCATTAAGATAAAAATTGCTACCATGAAGTCTTATGGCTTTCTCACTTCATTTACCTTCTAAATTAGAAATCACCACTAATGGTCTTTTTAAAATAAAAGCCATAATTTCAATATGAGTATTGTCTAATCATGCACCATTTATAGCAATTTTTTCAGTTATTAGTTTGTTTTTCATGCTTTTTAATATACATTCTTCTTTTCTATCTTCATAAATATCATAACCCGGAAAAAAATTATCAATTTTAGTCATTAATTCAAGGCACATTTTAACACGGAGGGGCAAAGCATAAGACGTATCTCTCTCTCTCCCAGTCAAGAAAACTGAATAGGAGTTCAAAAAGCAATTTCCATCTCCTACTGCATTTAGTTGAATAAAATTTTCATATAATAATGCTTCGGTCGTGTCTTCACTTAACCTGGGGACTTTGCCTTGTTGATTTAATTTTCTTAGTTCTTTCATTGGTGCACCTTCTAAATTTATTTCTTCCATAGGGTCCGGATAATTTTTTTCCGCCAAGAAATTTTTTACTTCTTGTAAAGTGGTAGGATTTTTTTCAAAAAATTTCTTAATATCCCATAAGATACCTTCTCATTTGTTATCAGGACGGATATCAGGTCGAGGAGTAGGAGTAGGAGTAGGAGTAGGAGTAGGAGTAGGAGTAGGAGTAGGAGT